CTAACCTCTTCTTTAATTTAGTCCCCGCTGAAAATATACATATACATGTGTGAAGAAAAAAAAAATATCCTAATCTGTCGCACACTTACGTCCCAGGAACTGATACGAAGGTACGTGGAGTTCTATCGGAAGATATTTATCAGAGAGTTTACAACACCTTCACCCTTGTACGTTAACATGAGAACTGTTGATGATGCGTTAGCAATATCTACATATATACTTTTACACATTACCTATTCGAACGCCACACGATGAAGGTTGTTCAACAAGAGCAGTCATTACCCATTGATAACTTGGATTTTACAGCAAAAACTCAACATAGTAAACATGGTAAATTGTTACCGAATTCGTTTCGCGCTATCATCTGCGGACCAAGCGGATGTGGAAAAACGAACGTAATGCTAGCGCTGCTTTTCCATCCAAACGGTGCTAAGTTTAAAAATGTTTACGTTTATTCAAAATCGTTGTATCAACCAAAGTATCAACTGCTTCAAGAAGTGATTTCCGCTGCTAAGGGTGTTGGCTATTTCCCATTTAAGGATAACGAGGAAATTATAAGTCCAAGTAAGGCTAAAAATAGCTCTATATTTATATTTGACGACGTGTCGTGTGACGGTCAGCAGAAAATTCGAGAGTATTACTCCATGTGTCGTCATAAAGATATCGATGCTGCATATCTCTGCCAAACATACTCTAAAATTCCAAAACAGCTCATACGAGACAACTGTAACATTATAGTACTATTTAAGCAGGATGAAATTAATCTAAAACATATATTTGATGAGCATGTATCTCCAGATGTTACTTTTGATGAATTCAAAAAGATGTGTTCGGAATGTTGGGCAGAAAAGTACGGTACGTTAGTTATTGTTAAAGACTTTCCTCTTAATTATGGTCGATACAGAGTAGGATTTGATAAGTACATAAAATTGTAGGCTTATCATGTACGCCATCATTCAGTAACATGATGTCAAAGGACCAAGTTGCCGTTGCTAGTCATAAAAGAAAGATCGCAGAACTTGCTCGAGCTATACGTAAAAAGTATCTTACTTTAAAGTTAGGTCGAACTGCAGAAGATGAATCTATTAGAAAACTTTTCAAACCAATATCTGAACCTCTTAAGCAAATAGCTAAGACTCAGCAGCATCCTTCATTTATTATTAAAAAAGAGGAAAAATTGAAACAGGATGATGATGATGATGATGATGATGTATTCACACAGAACCCAAACTATCTCAATTTAGAAGACGTGGCTTCAACTGATGAACAAGGTAATATACCGCCGAGACCTGAAACACCACCACTACCTGAAGAAATGCGTCCTGCTGATTTTTCACAAGAAGCAATAGAAGAATACTTAGATCAATATCCCCCAATAAGCCATAATTATTTACAAGATTTTTGGACACAAAACGATAAAATTGATAAAAATTATGGACCTATATATACCGACAACATTGGTTGGATGTTAGGTAAACGCCGAATTAAATTTGATAGAGCGACTGGCCAAATACAGATATTACCTGAGGGGACAAACTTAGCAGGTACATGGTTTCGTGGCACACCTGGGCTGTATCAACTTTTATTCTATAATGACCCAAACTATGCAGATGCAGATTTACAACCCTATAAAAATCTATTGCAAAGTACCGGTGTTCATTTAGATTCGCTTGGACGCCTAAAAGGTTCGACAGGATTTAAATATAATCACATTATTAAGCCTCTCTTTAAAGATGTGCAGAAAAATAAAGGTACAATTGTCACACGATCAACATCTACAAAAATACGTAGTCCACTTAGTCGATCATTAACAAGATCCACTCCCTCAACAACAACAACAACAACAACATCATCAACATCAAAACCGCCAACAGGAAAAGGTATCGGTGATTACTTGACATACAACGAGGAACCAATCGAATACGTGTACTGGGATGATCCCAATGAATTAATCGATCGACTTAAACTCCTTATGGCATCTCAGGAAGCTGGCAATACGTCGCATGATAATGAAATAGTAGCCATCCTCAACGAGCTAAAAGAAGCTAATATAATACAGTAATCTAGTTCTTTGGTCTTTCATTTACACGATGAGTCTTGATAAATTCGGACGTCGCTTTGATAAACAAAAGACACTTCCGTATATGCGTACACCGCCAAAGTTAACACTACCCCATACTTCTGATGGAAATGTTGACTTCAAGAACGTAAAGTTGTGTAATATAAAAGATCCCACAGATAATTCAGATGCGGCAACTAAAAAATACGTAGATACCTCAGTGATTGATTTAAAAAAAATAACAGCAAAAACAGATCAAATAACAGAGTTTATTTCGAGAAATCCGCCTACTTCTGGTAAACATATGGCAACAAAAAAATATGTAGATGACTCTATTGCAAATATAACAACAAGAATAGAACAGGAGTTGGCTACAATTAAGTCTCATACCGATTTGACTCCAATAAGGAAAAATATCATTGAATGAATTACAACTTTTGCAAGGACGCACATCATATATATCATTGAAAACATTCGATCTTGCTAAGCGTATAAAGCCGATGGAACAACAATTTAAAGCGTTAAAACATGATGACGTACGCCAAGGAGAAGCTACAACTAGTTAACGAGCTGCACAAGCCTGCTCGAAAAAATTATCTAAGACGACGTACCATCATTAAAGGCTTAGACGATTTATGGCAGACGGACTTGGCTGAAATGCGACCTTATGCTCATCAAAATAAAAATTTCAAATTAATTCTCGTCGTAATCGATTCTTTTTCCAAGTTTATGTGGACTAGACCGTTAAAGACAAAGACGGGTGAGGAGATAACTCGTGCGTTTTCGGATATCCTCGCACATACGGAACGTACGCCGAAAAATCTACAATCTGATCAAGGTAAAGAATTTTACAATAGTAAATTTCAAACTTTAATGAAGAAGCATGATATTAATCATTATAGTACATATAGCATCAAGAAAGCGGCCATTGCTGAAAGAGCCATAAGGACGTTGAAAAATAAACTTTACAAATACTTTAGCTTAATGGGATCGTATAAATGGATTGATATATTACAAAGCATTACCAATGAATACAATGGAACACGTCATCAAACCATCGGATGTAAACCATCACAAATTAATAAATCCAACGAAAAATGTATCTTAAATCGAAAATATACTCATTTAAAAATCGCGGGCCCGCGTAAGTTTAAAGTTGGTGACATTGTACGCATCAGCAAAACCAAAATGCTATTCGACAAGGGATACGTTCCAAGCTGGACAACGGAATTATTTAAAGTTACTAAAATTAATATTACCAACCCTGCAACGTACATGCTCGAAGATATGCAAGGTGCACCGATCAAAGGAGCCTTTTATGACGAAGAATTACAGAAACAGCCAATCCAGATGTTTATTTAGTTGAAAAAGTTTTACGTCGTAAAGGTAAAAAAATGTACGTCAAATGGCTTGGCCTTGATGCAAAACATAATAGTTGGATTGACAATGATGCGATCGTCTAGGTGTATGGGGTGGGGGGGTTTCTGCTAAAAGTGAGTTCTCAGTCGGTTGCAGTCAGTCAGTCAGTCAGTCAGGCAGCTAGTAAAAAAAAAAAATGGATACCAGTGGTAGTGGTTCAAGTTGCAGCGAGTTTGACCTCACCACCAGCAGCTCACACGAATCATCTGTAAACTACGACCGTGAGCTGGATGCTATTCTGGAAAGGTACGAAGAAGCGGCCAAGAACGAGGACCATTATCTGCTGTACACGCAGTTTCCAAATGGATCATACCAAATTGGATGCGGTCTAAGCCCAGCGAGATCATTTACTCCTGCTGTAATTGTGTGGAACTCATCACGGTTGAAACTATCTTTCAGTTCCTATGAGTGGGAACAATTAATCACCCAGCTCAATGTGGTAACGGTGAAGGAGACGGAGGAGCAGGAGGAGGAGAAGAACCTTCCTGACAAGTATGATCCTGTCGAAATCGAGTGCGGTGACTATTGCAGAATTCGACGACTAATCTATGATAGTACGAAAATTCTCGAAATAACCAAGCACAACATTAGTTTCTACCTCTCAGAAATGGACGTGAACGCTCTTTTAGAAGCAAATAATGAACTTTTAGTACCGTATATGTCTATGCTAGAAACTGTTGAATTTCCAAGCTATTATTATAATGCGCTTAAGATTGTTCGAGCTAGTTTTAATGATCAAAATTATACGTTTTCAGATGCTATTCAAAAATTGTATACATTTAAGCTCGTAGGCTGTACTTTACAACATATAGCGTTAGGACAACATATATTTTTCTATAGACATAGGATCGCTAATGATCTTGAACGATTTTAATAAAGTTTTTGTA